GCCCAGGGGTGGGGGCCGGGGGGGACAGTAGGTCCCCCCCTCATTATCTTTATGGCCCCCACCCACTGCCCAGGGGTGGGGGCCGGAGGGGGGGTGGACAGTAGGTCCCCCCCCTTATCAATATGGCCCCCACCCGCTGTGCAGGGGTGGGGGCCAGGGGGACTGTAGATCCCCTCCCTCATTATCAATATGGCCCCCACCTGCCGCGCAGGGGTGGGGGCCGGGGGGGGCAGTAGGTCCCCCCCTCATTATCAATATGGCCCCCACCCGCCGCGCAGGGGTGGGGGCCGGGGGGGGGCTGTAGGTCCCTCCCATTATCAATATGGCCCCCACCCGCCATGCGGGGGGAGCGGGGGGGGGCGGGGGGGGGCAGTAGGTCCCCACCTCATTATCAATATGGCCCCCACCCACCACGCAGGGGTGGGGGCAGGGGGACAATAGGTCCCCCCTTATTTTTCATTTTAAGGCCCCCACCCACTGCTCAGGGGTGGGGGCCGGGGGGGACAATAGGTCCCCCCCTTATTGTTATTAGGGCCGCAGGGGGGGACAATAGGTCCCCCCTTATTGTTATAAAAGTCCCCACCCACCGCTCAGGGGTGGGGGCCGGGGGGGGACAGTAGTTCCCCCCCTCATTATCTTTATGGCCCCCACCCGCCGCCCAGGGGTGGGGTTCGGGGGGGGAGGGGAGTAGGTCTACTCCCCCCCCCCTTCAACCAGTAAGAGTCCCTGTGGGTTTTAAAATTCGCCTGCCCATTGAAGTCTATGGCGGTTCGCCCGGTTCGCGAACATTTGCGGAAGTTCGCGTTTGTGAACCGAAAATTTTATGTTCGCGACATCACTATACAATACTTGTCTGAGCCGATATCATGACAATATCTATTTATTACATGTACATGCAGCTCAGTAATAGTTTTCTAACTATGAGCTGTATTTGAACCCAGTCCCTCCCACTATATATAGTATACTACTTGGGTACTTTCATAAGTAAATGCTGCCAGGAATAATGAACATTATTTCATACTTACCATAGCTTATTTTCCTGACTATTATACACGGCAACATTAATTTTCCATCTATCTACTATGAGGATTGTGAAACTAGTTACAAAAACTGCTAGATAGGGTTGAGGTGGATCTATTTATACTAATTTCAGAGGTTTTTTTCTTGTCCTTTCTGCTGTGAGGGGAGGAGCTAACCCATGAGTAAATGCTGCTAAGTATAAGAAAATTACAATTAAAGAAAATTACAGTAAGTATGAAACAATTTTCATTACTGTGAAGCCAAGTCAGAACACACTAATGTATTTAAATGATAAAGATTATAGTTTATATGGAAATTATATAATAAGGTTTATAAATTTGACAATTCACATTTTTTTATAATTTAGCTAATCTGGAAAATCTCCACATCAAAGCCTAAGTACATTCAATTGTTACCATACTGTGAAGGCATGATTTAGTTATAGGTTATACAGTCCATGCCTGCATCACTTGAATTATTACAAGGGCATGTTGAGGTGGTGGGCACTAGATATGGAGATTCATTTTAGCCCAAAATGCAATATGTCTGAATTTGGGCCGATCGGGTAATTGGTCAAATTCCTGCGCTGAAATATAGCACAATTATGAACCAACTAAAATGCATAATAGGTTCAATTTGATTTGTGGTTCTGGATTTTGTCCATTGCACCAAAGAAAGAGATGATTGATTGGGAATAAAAGATGATTGGTGGCAAGTAGCTTAGACATAGTAGCTAAATGTTGATTGTGACACGAGTCACCATCTCTGGGACCATATAAACTCTGTCCTTCTCTCTTGCAGCTGTTTTAGTAACTGTTGGCCTTTTTCTTCATAATTGTTCCACTTTGGGCTGATATTATGTGTGACTGGGTTTGCTGTTGGGAGTCATAGAACTGTCTGTTTGTGTATGTCTGACAACTGATTTCCAGATGTTTTTGTTACGCTACTTGGGTGATTTGGATTGGAACTCAACTGCAGCTTGTAAAACGCCCTAATTACAATAGTGAAGAAACTGAGAATCTTTAAAGTATTAATACTGTAGCTTTAAGAAAAGAAAGAATTGCTGGTAATTTGATTCAAACAAAGTTTTAATAAGTGTTAAACTTAAATGAATTGCATTTAGGCAATAATCCAATAAGAAGAAGTGCAAGTAATCACCAAAACAAAATTCATTAATAAGTATTTCCTCAAAGATGCATTAAGTAACATTCTTTAGGTTAATGAGAATAATCTCCAATAGTAACTTTAAGCAAGTAGCTGAGAATATTTGCAAGCAGGAACGGTTCATAGTTAATAAGCATGATTGGAGTTGTCCTCCATATAATTAGTAGCTTAAAGCAGTGAAGATTTAGTAAGCAAGCATTAGTTCATTCTTAAATGATATTGTAGACAAATAGCTGAAATATATACTTAAGGTTAATGTGAGTAGTCCTCCAATAGTTCAGTGGTATGGTCCACTTGTAAAGTAAGTGAGTTTCTGTTCTCCAGTAATCCTCTATAGCATGAAGTATACTTGTTTTAGCCCAGAAGGCTAGGACGACATCAGAGCTTGTAGAGCCGGCGTGTCCCAGGAGCCGGTGTGCATACTCCGAAGTAGGACCCACATTGCCAGAGCCTGTGGAGAAGTAAGTCTGGCGGAAGTAGCTCACAGTATCACCAAGCCCCCTCTCTCCCTTAATACCATCAGAGCTGCGTCAGAGGGGGGCGGGGTCCGGCTCCGCACAGCAGAGTACCGAATCTGGGAGTGTTAGCGCATGACAGTTTTTTTATCTGTGGTTAAGTCACTCTGTGCCCATTACAGATGCAGGGTGTGTGTTATTGTATTGTGCTATGTGAGTGCCTGTATGATTCCCCATATAATTGTGCTTTATGTATTGGATTGAGTGTGTCACCATGAGTGTAATGTAATGTGGGAAGGCAATAGTTCTGAGTTAAATAATGTATTGTGTGTTAGTTCCATTGGGAACTGTGTGGTGTTTGGTGATTCCAGTAACGCAGTTTTTGAAACTATTGGCTGGATGCCCTGGTCCCTGAGCTAGGCCCGAGAGTGACAAGTGACTTTGTAAAGGCAGTAGTTGGAGACAGTGAAGGAAGAGGTGTCAATACCTTCCAGGGAGAGGAACAGAAGAGGCAAAGACAGAAGGTATAATACTTGCCTGGAAGGAGAGAGCTGCAGCATGGTCCCATGGAAAAGGTCTTCAGAGATTCCAGTCAAACTTCAGCGACTGCTTCTGAAGCACTCCAGAGTCCCTGGTAGCAGAGAGTCCCTGGTAGCAGAGAGGAAGCTGACCTGGCAACTGATTACCTCTGCCAGGTCAGCTTCCTCTCTGCTACCAGGGACTCTGGAGTGCTTCAGAAGCAATACAAAAATCTATGTTTATATAATATATGTTTTTTTTTGTTTTTTTTTAATTCTTTATTTTTGTTCGTGCCTAAGGTTAACATGCGAATTTGCACTACCACAATAGCTGGTGCACTCAAGTTTGCATACACGCTTAGTCACATGGCGTTAATGACATTGCACTTTTTAGTAGTTATATAAACAGGATAATTTCTCACGCTTATAAAGACAAGTAAAAGTAGTATTTTGATTCACAGATATGTGTCACTTTGTAGTCATAGTAAGATTAACGGTCGAGCTGGAACATTGCATTACAGAGCATAGTTTTACACTTGTAGCTTTGCGTTGGATTGTACTGTGTTATGCCCTTGGTACATTCTGTGCAGTACCTTTGTAATTATGCCCCGCTAGGCAGAAGAAACATGAACACAAAGAGCCTTCTCATATGGTCAGTGGCCTAGGTTGAGTAATGCCTATTGAGAGATAAAGAGCTTGGATTTTACCAGGGAAACTAACTGGGTGCTTGACAACTGAAGACAAGCATGCAAGATGGTCCGAGGGGACACACGAGGACTATATTAGCCGTGTAGTTTAAATGCTTTGCTGAATATGGAAGTGGGCCAGCTGGGGTAGCCTATATTCAGCCTGACCGGAGCAAACATAAATCCCCCCTGCATTTATGGTAGGGACACTTAAGGTCATGGTTAATGTATGATTGGGGGTTGATAGCCTGCTGGGCTTAAGTTGGTAGAGTAAAGTTGTGGTGCTTTCTATTTTGCATATGGCAGGGTCCCAGGTGATATCCTAAGAAGCTACCTCGCCTACCATTTGGGATTCCCGCATACATTTCTAGGTAACAGAGGAGTAGCTTTGGGGCGCTTGCTAAGGAGGCGAGCGTTAGTATGTTATCCATCGCTTACTACACCACATATGGAACTCAGTATAGAATCTAGTGTTAAAGAAATAAAGGCTGCAGATTATGTAACATTGCTTTTCCTGCTAAATAGGCTGCTGTTTTGCTTAAATTCAGTAATAGCGTATTTTAGACGAAAAAGTTAACCATCAGTGTAATGCCTTATATGATCAGGTTCGAGTTGCTATCTCAAGTTATGCTGGTCTAATGCTATGCCGTATAGGCTGTCACATAAGGAAAGAAAAAAAAAAGGCAAAGGCAAAAGCTCTGTAGGAATTAATGTAAAATGAAAATAACAGGTTAAAGGCTATTACTATACACTTTTCTAGCCTGTAAAATGCAAGTCTTATGTTATGAGGTATGGTGAGAGAGTCCAATTGTAGCCAGGTGTGCGCCTGGCAGGCTCCGTTCGTGTGCAGCTGCTCAGCCGATCCCATCTGAGTGCCTAGTACAGTCCCTGGGGAGGTTGGCAAGAGAGGGCCCAAAGTAAGGGTTACAATTCAGCCTGGTGTCGAGTGTTGCAGCGTGGCGGTGGCAGACGTCTCAGGTATCCCGGGAACCTGCAGCAAATGTCCTCTTCTAGCTGTAGGTCACATTGCCTATGGATTTCAGCTGCGGCATGAAGAGTTCATAGGTGCTGTTGCCCCCTTGTGGTTGGGCTGTCATCAGACGCTGCAGCCCTGTTGTAAAGGTGTATCAGGCAGAAATCCCTCATTAAAGTGTCACCTCCTGTTGGGTCTGCCCGCAAGTTCTTTGAAGGGGGAGCAGTGTGGGCTACTTCTGAGCCTCGTTGCCTGTTTTGGTGAGTAGCCTGTAGTGGATTCGGTTTTGGCGCCATCACATATGGCCTCCGCCATCTTGACTGCTGTGTCCTGTTGTCGGAGCAGGGCGGCCCTGCTGCTGCGCCCTGGTTGGTCGGGGCGTGCGGGGGTGAGGACCGGGATCACCCCCCCGGTCCAGAGGGGGGGGGGGCATTTCCCAACGGGTCTGGCCTTGGCTGAGCACCGATGGATAGTGGGGCAGCGGCCGTCTGCTCCACTCACCGCCAGAGTAGGCCTCATTTGCGCTAGTGAGGATTCTTCCTCCAGGGGACTGAAACCAGGCAGGCCAGCCTCACCCTGGGTCCGGTACTCTCCACCTGATGAGGTCCACCGCAGCTGGTCGGCTTTGTATCCCAAAAGTCTGGTTTTCACGCTTATTTTGTTTTAAGTTTCAGGAGCTGGTCTGACATGCGACCATCTTGCTTGGCGGCCTGGCCCCGCCCCCTATATAATATATGTTGATTAAATATATAGCACTAGATATTTAAATATATATATATTTTCTTACTACGCCTCCTACTTTTTCCTTCTATTGGTTAGTTTTCTCACTTGATTTGTGAACCAAATTGCAGGAAAATGCACTTATTAGTGTAAAATATGTATATAATATTGTATTATGTATATATTTTGAAGCATACTGACTGGGCCATTTTAGTTCCCTTTTAGTAAGTCTTCCATTCCCAAATCAGTTTTCAGTACTGATAATCTACTGAGTAGAGAAAGCATCATTTTGATTTGTGGGAAAAATGGTTCGGCCAAGCCAAATGTTTGCATAATGCGCAAGGAGGCACTGTCTAGAACTCTGCCTACGATAATTACTGTGAGTAGTAACCTAAAAAAATATATCTGTTAACATCATTGTTTTGTTTAGCAATTATGTAGAATGCAACTATACATATTTGTTTCAAGATACACAGAGTGTATTTTCTATAATGACTAAAATTCTTGGCTATTGTAATATATGTAGAAGGAGATTCAGAACTTAACTTTTTGGTTTTTTTTCATAAGTTCAGACAATGTAATTTCAAAATAAATGTTTATTATTACTAATGTTTCTTACTATACAAAATATTATAGTGACACATTTACTCAAGAACATGATTATTATGACAATCATTCATGTAATATATTATTGGTTGTGGTGGACTGAGCAACCACTATGGAAATAAAAATATCATATGCCTACAAATTCACACAATGATTACATTATGAGGGAACTTATTTGGGGTTTAAATTATTCAATGATAGCTTGTTAACACATTCAGTTGCATACTCTATATCATTTTCTCCCAGTATGCTATTAAAAGCACTGCTCATAATGTGTAACATGGGTTGTAATACAGTCCCACACACTTTACACTAATTTCACTTACATTTATGTTTCCCAAAATGAGGTAATGACAATGTATTTATGAATCTGGAGATTTTTCTCACAGTTTTGTGATAAAGAATTATATTTCTGTTATGGATTTGCTATATCACCATGGTAATGAGGCACTTTTAAGATTGTATGCACATGTTTTCTTTCTCAGTAAGTCTATATTAAGGAAATAAACAAAAATCTAAAAAATAAAAAGTAGTATCTTATTAATTGATGCAGTATTGATAACATTATTGTATTGTATTATTGTCTTTTTTGATTGTCAGATTCTGCAAAGGCATATTAAAAAGTATAATTGAAATCATACATGAAATGAGAATATCTTTATTTTAACACTACCCAATTAGATAGTTTCCATTATTCGGAATATATCCTCATTGGAATAATTATGCTGTTAAAACTTCTTTCTATACTGTACAATGCCTGGTTCAGGACATCTACAATGAGTAATAGCCTTAGGCACCCCCTATTCTGTTTGCTTACATTCAAACTTAGAGTGAGTTTTGCAGCATGATAACAAGCCCCTTGGGGCAGTGTAAATTTCATTTTGTTTTCCCTAAAGGGGGCCGCTGCTCATTATCACTTAGAAAAGGATCCCCAATGGTTGACAAGAAAGAAAATGAGGCTCAGTCAAATTCCATGAGATAATTCAATTCTTATCAATCAATAACAATCGAGAAATGGAGTATAAAAAGATGGCTATCAAATGTTTTTTCTTTATAATTTGCAAATATGCAGAAAACCAAATATACTAATGTACTCAATGAGGATAGAGCCAAAATAAAGGGTTTATGCAAAGTACTGACAACAAGCCTTTCATAAAGTGAAATTTTTTGAGAAACAGGATGCATTGTAATACATTGGCATAATAAGTAGGCACATTACTTTATTAATGATTAGAAATTGATTGGTGTAAAATAGTTCCTGGGTTATGCTTTATAGAAATATTACAAACAATCAGCTAATGTTCACCAACTATCTGACATACATAAAACAACAATTCTTTTCATGAAAACTGAAAAATGCAGAGTGGAGCATACACTCATAAAATATACAACAGTAAAAAGGATTCAAGTATGACATCGTGTTGGTATCAGGGCAGAGGTGTCTGTCCAGATATCATTATATTCATTAGCTTAGTATTGACATATTGTATATGGCTGTATACTATATGTATTTCACTTCTGTAATTTGCATGTTTGTACTTATTTAGAAAAAATAATAAACTAAATAATGTTATTCGAATTGTATCTATAATACTGAATATGCATGACATGATTACGTACATGTAAGCCACAACATTAAAACCAAAAACCTAATATCATGTAGGCCCACCTCATGCTGCCAAAACAATTCTTATGTGTCAAGACATGGACTCCACAAGACCTCTAAATGTTTCTTGTGTTATCTGGCACCAAGACAGCAGATTCTTAAAGTCCTGCAAGTTGCAAAGTAAGACCTTCATGGATCAGATTTGTTATTTCTGCACATCTCGCAGATACTCATTCGGATTGTGATCTGGGAAATTTGGAGGCCAAGGTAACACACTGAACTCTTTTTCATGTTCCTCAAAACATTCCTGAACATTTTTTGCAGTGTTGTAGGGTGCATTATCCTGATGAAATTTGCCAATGACATCAGGGAACACCATTGGCATGAAAGGGTGTGCATGGTCTTCAACAATTTCAAGATAAGTGGTAAGTCTCAAATAACATCCATTTGAATGTCAGGTCCGAGGTTTCCTAGCAGAACATTGTGAGCATATGACTTTCCTCCTCCGATCTGCCTTCTTACCATAGTGAATCCTGCTGCCATCTCTTCCCCAAGTAAACAACGCAAATGCTACTTATACCTGGGTGGGGAAAGCAACTGATCCCCTGCCTTGGTTTACAAATGACCATTTTCTGAGCTTTGTCCTACCCCCTTTGGACCAGTCCCCGCAGGATCAGATCCTGTTTGGCGCAGGATCAGAAACCTATACTCTTTGTGAAGAAGCTGCTAGAACCGGCTTAAGGCCGAGCAATCCTAGCAAGCTAATTTATTCAAGCCTTTGATAAGTTCTGTGTTCGATTCTGGGCAAAGCTTACCCAGAGACATCTACATTGAGAATGGGAGGATATGTGTTCCCAGCTGCCACATTTTACCCAAAACCTCTTACCTACCGGGAGCATCAAGGAGCTGATCCTCGAGTATGGTCCACACCACTGGAGGGTCACCAGTAGCCATCCTCAACAGTGTGTAGCAAGATACCCCCAGGGTACCAATTAAGGCACCAAAAACCGCCAGATCTGTGAGCAACATGTGCAACTTTAGTGGTGGCCAGGTCTGGTGGAGGTTGCTTCGGGGGCATACCTAGAGCATTTGGCACCCGAGTGGGTCCTATTTTTGGCACCCCAACTTTAAAAAGTAAAAAAAAAACTATTTAGCACTGAGCAGTGTTTGTGTGTTTGAATGTATTGAATGTAATAATGTTTTTGAATGGAGTATGTTTGAGTAAATGTATGGATGTGTTTGTATGTAGTGTTGACATTTGAATGCAAGCATGCTTTTGTGTGTAGTGTGGTTTTTGAATGCAGTGGTGTGGTTGTATAAAATGGTGGGGTTTGTATGTAGTGTTGACGTTGAAATGCAGGTGTATTTGTGTGTAGTGTTGGTGAGATTCTGAGATGTATGCACATATACACATACACACATATATACACACTGACATACATGTAGATACATATACACACAGGTACACACATGCAGATACATAGACACACAGTCACACACAGATACATAGACACACATGCAGACACACAGTGGCGACTCTAGGAACAATATATAGGGGACCACATAAGATACAAAACAGTCAAAACTGAGGGGGGCACTAAAACTTTTTACTAGGGGATGAGGTAATGTGCTGCCATTTTCTGTCTGATGCCAGCATGCTGTGCATTTCTGTCTGATGTGCATGATGGCATCAGACAACAAATTTGCATAGAATTCTCATTAGCCACCCAGATTTCCTGTTGTAGACTGGCAGACACCTCTTAACTTCGATCTTTGTTTATCAGATAACGCCCCTATTTGTTATCCTTATGTGGGACTGCCATATTTAAGGACACCAATCTGCTAAACAGCACCATAATTTGGTATCTTTAAAAATGGAAATCTCACATAAGGGCAACCAATTTAAGGAATTATCTACTAAACAGCTATATGATAAAAATGTAAAAAGCCCTTTTCTTAATTTTAATCTTTCAGCTGTTTAATATATCTCTCTTATTTGTTATCCTTATGTGGGATTGCAAAATGTAAGGACACCCAATAAGAGAGCTATCTACTAAACACATGCACATTTATATACACACACAATAACACAATAGATGTATATGTGTGTGTGCATATCTATGGTTGTGTGTGTGTGTGTGTGTGTGTGTGTATGTATATATATATATATATATATATATATATACACACACACACAAAGGAAACTTATAACCACAGACACACATACGCACACAATGACAGACATACATAAACACACATAATCACAACACACACGTTTAACCACAGTCACAATCACACACACACACTTAAAACACACATAATCACAGACATACACAATCACAGACCCACACACATACACTCACAGACACACAATCATATACACATAATTAGACATACACACACAAACATCACATAAATACACACATTTAATAATAATTAAGAGGTCCACACAGCCTCCCTGCCTTGCTCTGGAAGGGCTGGGATATATGCTCAGTCCCTGGTGGCCAATGGTTGCTGCTGGGATCTCTGTGCTCTTCCTACACAGGTTCCTCATGTGCCCTGTAATGACGCTAATGCTGGGATGACGTTATAACCTGGCTGCCGGCTCACTGCAGGGCAAAGACAGTCAGATGCACACAGTTATACAAATACAGCAAAAACAGC